AAAAAAAAAAAAAAATACCATCCAGCCTCTATGATGGCAACATTTTCAAACACTGGGCTCTGCTTCTCCTTGAACCAAATATCACAAAAGCCACAACTTCATCTAAAAAGGGAAAATACTAGGGATGCAAAAAAAAATGCATATTCATTTTAAGAGCTCTTATTGGAACATTCCCAAAAAGGATATAAATTACAGGTAAAATGGATATGTGTAGAATGTCTAGGTACACTTGAACAGTAATGGTACCCTCAATTCAACTTTGAAAAGTAATGCATAAATAACCTCTCTTAAAATGTGTATACATTTTTTGGCACCCTCTGTAGAATCAGTGCCTAACTAACCCCATATGTGCTCTGCATTCCAGCAGGTGGCACAAAAAATCTTTTTCCCTGAAATCTTCACATTTCTCTGTTAAATGATAGAATAACTTGGAAAAGTATAATGACTAATATAGATTTTGAATATGTTGGAATTATACTAATACATTTTTATTCATACAATATAATAAGCATTGCATCATATTGTTCCATTCTAGGTAATTCTATATTCTGAAGGATTTGAATCTAGTAAAATATTAGCAAGAAAAATGACTCAGATGTATAAATTGTGCAGTGAACAGCTGTCACAGCAGGATCACTACGACTTTGGCATGAGAGCTGTGAAGTCTGTCCTCGTCATGGCTGGGTAAGAAACCAAAGTGGTCAAGAGGGAAATTCCAAACCAGGTAATCAAATGCATTATGTAGGTAACTCCTAGAAGATTCTTGGAGCAATGTTTGGTGCATAGTAAGTGATTAATAAATATTAACTCCTGCTGTTGTCACTATTTTTTTTTGAGACAGAGCCTCAAGCTGTCCCCCTAGGTAGAGTGCTATGGCATCACAGCTCACAGCAACCTCTAACTCCTGGACTCAAGAGAGTCTCCTGCCTCAGCCCCCCAAGTAGCTGGGACCACAGGCACCCGCCACAATGTCCAGCTATTTTTTTGGTTGCAGCCATCGTTGTTTGGCGAGCCCAGGCTGGATTCGAACCCCCCACCTTAGGTGTATATGGCTGGCTCCTTAGCCACTTGAGCCACAGGCGCTGAGCCTGTTGTCACTATTCTTGCTTGACACTCCCATGACAAATTGAAATGGGCTCTCTCCCCTTAGCTCGTTACAGTTCTTCACAGCAGGTCCTGACATGGATTCCCTCAGAGTGGTCCTGACCCCTAACTAGGCTTTGGCTGACTTTCACTTTCCCTACACGCATCCCATATGTTGGGTGTGAGTGTACAAAGCCTTTTACCACCATAAGGTAGGATAACTAGACACTTAACACATGTGCAGTAAGGTTGGCCATACAATGTTGTCAGACAAAGTCTCAGGAGTTAAAAGAAGCCTCATCCTTTGGTTTTCAGTTCAGCTTGTGTCTTAGACTTCACCTCTGTATATACAGTGTGATCCAAGACTCAATTTATTTTTAGTTTCCACTAAAGCAAGAATCTTTTCTCTTCAGATTCCAACATTTCTCTTTATAACTTCTTGTAACTACTATACGTGATATCCCCAACTCGTGCGGATCCTCTGAGGAATCTGCATATATTTTCTCTCAGGCCATGACTCACTGGCTTGGGTTCTGCACATCCAGGGCTCCTTCTGCCTGGCTTCTGTAGCATGGGACTCTACACAGATCTCTCTTTTAACTTCCCAGAGTCAGCATGTCGCCTATTTACAGGATAGCCGTGTGAGGACTAGAGATATTAAGAAGTTCAGATCCTCTTGCACTGAAAGAGCACAGGTACATGCAGTGGGGGAGACAGGGAAAAGCACAGTCAGTCATCTGTGGTTCAGCATGTGAGCATAGTGACGGGCTGAGCCTGGGGTTCACTAAGAAGGGGGACAAAGGACAGAAGAGCTTTCTAGAGAAAGAAGTAGCTGTTCTGGGTTTTGAAGGGGAAAATAAGAGCAGGCAAAGAGCAAGTCAGGGCAGAGAGAAAAAAGTCACAGCAATATGAGTCAACGTGATGTATTTAAGGGACTATAAATTTAGGTTGAAGAGTATGGATTGATAAGGGCAAGGTGGTGTTGAGCAGATGTCCTTGTCATTCTCCTCAAGGCCATGCAGCCAGCGTAGGACCTGTCAGTGTGCTCTTATGGAGATGGATGCTGAGCACACACAGGGAAACAATCCTCTCCTTCCAGCAGGAATCCTCGGGGGCATAGGGATGCCCTCCACAGAATTCCTGATTCACAGGTTTAGAAAATCACATTCAATCTGATGTTCTTAAAATATTACCTGAAATATTCCTTTGACTTTAGATCTTTAAAAAGAGAGAACCCAGACCTAAGTGAAGATGTGGTATTAATAAGAGCTTTAAGAGACTCCAACTTGCCAAAATTTCTAACAGATGATGCTCTTCTGTTCAGGTAAATTTCTGGATGTTACAGAATAAAGCATAGCTTTTGTGTAGAGGTAAAGCACAATCGCAACTTCAATTATTTGCTCTAACAAGCTAATAACTTTCTCATCTTTTCTAGAGATGCCTATTATAGTTTAAGAAATACTAGTTTAAAATAAACATACTAAAGTTTTAGCATCATTCTAATCACTTACTATTTTTTTTTCAAAATATTAATCACCAAGCTGTGTGCTATACAAATTAGCATTTGGTTACCAGTTCCTGAACCAAAGAGAAATTTCTAATCCTAAAAAAAAATCAGCTTTGAGGCTTAACAGAAATGTGATTACTCTTATCCATTTCTTCACTGATTATTTTATTTTATGTGTCTCCAAGGTATACGTGCACATAGTTCTAAAAATAGTTTCATGAGTTAGCCTCATAGAAAACAACAGTCCTCTGCCCTTTACCAACTCCCACTTCCCAAAGGCAGTCACTTTTTAATTCTGTTAGTTATTTATTTTACTATTTTTCTCCAAACTTCTTAGCACCACATTTATGTCATCTCTGATTTCTCAGGTTTAGACGTTAAGTTACTAAAAGAGAGGTCAGGCTATGTACATGCACTTTTCCCCTCCACTCATCCTCTCTGTCTAGTTTCCGCAGTATAGCTTGAGCTAAATAGCCAGAGTTTCCATAATTTACTATAGCCACATAAATATTAGCCATTGCTGAGACATCTTCCATTTTATGTTAATTTACCTAAATTTTTAAAATTTTATCTGCAGCAATTTATTGTGTTGGGTTTTATTTTTTAATCCTTCACCAACTTTTTAAAAAATAAATTTATCACTAATTCATCTCCAGATTCTTCCAGAGTGTAAATCTCTTTTAAGAAAAAAAAATCAGTCATACAAAATAGTCTATTAAATTCATCTCCTTGGAGCTCTCTGTCCTTTTGCTCTACTCTGGACTGGGTACACATCACCCCTGGATGACACATCTGTCATCCAGTAACGTGCATTCATGACAGCACTGGGGATTCCCACTGCCCTTGTTCTCTGTTACAGCAGTCCCCAAACCTTTTGGCAGCAGTCATGGAAGACAGCTTTTCCATGACATGGAGGAGGAGTATGAAGAGGGGGAGTCAGAACATCACTGGTGATGCCAGTGATAGCGAGTGGCTGAGGAAAATACAGATGAAGCTACTTTGCTTGATCGCCCATCACTCACCTCCTGCTGTGTGGTTCCTGAATTTCATGGAAGACAATTTTTTCCATTTTTTCAAGGACAGAGGGTGGGAGAATGAGGGGGAGCACTGCGGCCTGGCTTCTAACAGGCCATATACCTGTCAGTACTGGTCCATGGCCCCAGGGTTGAAGATATCACATACCATGTTTTCCGCAACCTTGCCTACTCCCTTCTCTTGGCAGAATGAATTTCCTCCATTTTGCTGACAAAGGATGCATCAGAGATAAAGGCAGGACTATTGGCAACAAATTTTCTCAATTTTTGTTTGTCTGAGAAACTCCTTCTCCTTCACTTTTGAAGGATAAATTCATAGGGTACAGAATTATAGATTGGTGGGTTTTTTCCCTCTCAACACTTTATTTTTTTAATGTGTTTATTTATCTGTTTAAAGAGAGGTTCTTATCTGGTGCCTGGGCTAGAATGCTGTGGTGTCATCACGTTCTCTCAACACCTAAAACACTTCACCCTGCTCTCTTCTTGCTTAGATAGTCTCTGAGGAGAAGGTGATATACTTATCTTTGTTCTTCTATAGGTAATCTTTTTTCTTGGCTTCTTTCATGATTTCTGCTCATCTTCAATTTTCTGTGGTTTTAAAATGATATGCCTAGGTATAACTTTCTTGTTATTTATTCCTTCTTAGTCTTCTCTGAATTTCCTGGATCTGAGGTTTCATGTGTGATGTTAATTTGGGAATGTTCTCAGTCATGCTTGTTTCAGATAACTCTTCTTTTCCTTTCATTAAACATGTTACTCCTTTTGTAGGTATTCCAAAGTTCTTAGGATATTATGTTGTTTTTTCAGTCTTTGATCTCTTTCTTTTCAGCTTTGGAGGGTTTTCTAGATATCCTCAAGCAAATAAAACACTTTCCTCAGCTATGTCTAGTCTGCACACAACCCTATCAGAGGCATTCTTTAGTTCCATTACAACATGTTGATTTTTCATCTCTTGGATCACTTTGTAGCTCTTTCTTGGACTTGTCCATCTGCTTTTTCAGCTGTGTGTTTTATCCAAAGATCCATAGAGGCCTTGACATATTAATCACTCCCTGGAAGTAATTCCAACATCTCTGCTACATCTAGTTCTGGCGCTCACTTTCTCTCTTCAAATTGTGTTGTTTTTTTGTTTTTTTTGTTTTTTGGTTTTTTGCCTTTTAGTATGCCTTGTAATTTTTTCTTGATGGTGGGACACTATGTCTTGTTTAAAAGGAACTGGGCCAAAGATAAACAGAAAAAAAAATAGGCCTTTAATAACGTGGTGGTAAGGTGTGGGGAGAGAAGGTGTTCTATAGTCCTATGATTATGACTCAGTCTTTTAGTGAACCTATGTGTTTGAAACATAACTACACAAGCTTTTCTATGTTTTGTCTCCCACCTTATTTGGTACAAGATGGCTTGAGTGAGCTACAGTTGGGCACTGCCCTTCTGCCACATGGAAGGCTAAAGCTAGCTGAAGTTGGTATTTCCCTTCCACTAGGTCTATTAGGTTCTGACAAAACTCCCAATAGGTTAGGCTCTAGTTAACTGGTTTCTCCTGCCTTCTTCTTATTAAGAACAAATTGCTCTAGCATATCTCAAAATCTCCTTTTCTTTCCCCTGCCAGAAATACAAGAGAATTTTTCTCAGATATTTACTGTGGAAACTTGACTTAGCTCCTGGAGGTAAAACTCACAAAAGACATGTCCCTGCTTCCCATGACTTAATCCCCCTGGAATGTTTAACTCTCAGATTTATCCATACCTAGCTTCCAGTTATTTATCAAATTGCCTTTTGGCAAATATGTGAAGTTTTCAGGCATTATTTCTTTGCATACTTTTTCAGCCCTTTCATCTTTCCTCATGATCTGAGACTCCAGTGACATAAATAATAGATCATTTGTTAGAGTTCCACACAATCTCTGAGTTGTCTGCTCCTTTCTTTTTTCAGACAAACTTTTCTTTCTTATTCAGTCTGAGGAATGTCTATTCTATTTTATAGTTTACCAATTCTTTCCTCTATCCCTTCCATTCTGCTGTTGAGCTCATCTATTGATTTTTGTTGTTTTTATGTATTTTTCAATTCTAAAATTTCCATTTGGTGCTTTATGTATTCTCTTTCTTTTTCTTTTTCTTTTTTTGGTTAAGATGTTCTTTCTTTTTATTTTGTTTCTAGTATGTTTGAAATGGCTCTTTGTAATGGTTATTTTAAAACATTTGTCAGATAATTTTAACATCTCTATTATCTTAGTATTGGCATTTATTGTCTTTTTTAATTTTTTTTCTTAAATCATAGCTGTGTACATTAATGCAATCATGAGGTAAAATGTGCTGATTTTACATACAATTTGAAATGTTTTCAGTTAACATA